AAGACAATGATACGTTTACCCTCAACTTCCACACACTCCGTTACACACTTTCTCTTTTTGTTATTTCCTGTTAATTTCATCGTTAACTTCACACTCATTCAACCCAACCCTTTCTCTCTCTCTTTCCTTTCTTTTCTCCTTTTTGCTGTTCATTGTCCTCACAAGATCCATCTTCCTCCTCACCTCCATTCTCATCCTAATCATTTGTAGGATAATTGCCAGTCATCCCAAACCAAACACCAACCCCCCTTTCCTACCAAAGAAATTTTCTTTCCAACTCCAACTTTCTTATCAATCAAACAACATACCATATTATCAAATTTGTAAAAATTCTAACAAAAATTTATTATCTTCTTTCTCTTTCTTTCTTCCTCTGTTTCTTTTTTTTTTTTTTTTCCCTCTCTCCTCCGTCCCGTGGGTTTTGAAGGAGAACTCAGATTTGGGTTCTCACGGAGAACCAGTGAGAACCCAGATTTGGGAACCCGATCTAGGTTCTCCAAGAACCTAGACCTAGGTTCTCAGGTTCTCCAGGAGAACCCGACCTAGTTCTCCATAACTCAAATCAAGGAGGGGGAAAGAGAAGGAAGAAGAGGGGAGGAGAGGGAAAAAAAATTGATATTTTTAGTTTCATTGTTAAGTTTATAGTTTAATATTGTTTCATTTTAAAGGTTTAATTTCGTACTACTATTGGTGGTTTAATTTCTTACTTTCATTTAATTCTTTTCCGCTTTTATTTTCTCAAATGACTGCCTTCAATTCATTTAAATTCTTGTGGATGATTTTGAAAAATCCACGTAATGAGAATTAAGGGTGAGTGAGTTTAAAAGGGAACGAAATAAATGCAATTTCAATTTTTTGCACTTGATTAAAGACAATGTTTAATTAAAGGTAAGTGTATAAAATTAAATGTACTCTTTCAACTCTCTATAAATTTCAAATGTGAAAGAAAACCAAAGTAGTAAATAAAGAATTCAAAAAATTACAACTAAAGTAACCTACAAATGTAAGACGGAAACAGAACATTATGTTTTTCAAATATAATATAATAAAGGTAAAAGGGTTTTTTTATATTATGCTTTTAGAAAACAAGTTAAAGATACAATAAATGTATCTTTTTGTAGTTAATTTCTATTGAAAGTGTAAATATTAACTTAAGTTTAATCAATTAAAATTATTTACGTGTTTTTTGGTTTTCAAAAATCATTTACGTGTCAATGGTTTTAAAATACATATTAACTTTTATAATTTTTTAATGAATTAATTACAAAAATGTATATTTATTATACCATTAAGTCTTAGATGAACCAAGGTAACATAGAAGATAGAAGACAAAAGGTTAGATTAATGCCTTTAACGTAAATGGTTAAGAAAGGGATTGCATTTAACACAAATTAAAAAGAAAAATAAATAAATAAAATATATTTAAATTTAGATCTCAATTAATGCATGGTAGCATTTTAACGTTTTTTTATAAATCTATCTATCTAGCTACCCATACATTAATTGAGATTTAAATATAAATATATTTTTTAATTTATTTTTCCTTTTAATTTGTGTTAAATGCAATCCTTCCTTTTAACAATTTGTGTTAAATGCATTAATTAACCTAATTTTTTATCTTCTATTTTACATTTTTTTTGAAACAATGATACGTTTACTCTCGATTTCCACATATTTTGTTACACACCTTCTCTTTTTGTTATCTCTTGTTAATTCCACCGTCAACTCCACACTCATTTAGCCCAACCCTTTATTTTTCTCTTTCCTTTCTTTTCTCCTTCTTGCCATTCATTGTCCTCACCTGATCCATCTTCCTCCTCATCTCCATCCTCATCCTAATCATTTGTAAGACAATTGCTAGTCATCCCAAACCAAACACCAACCCTCCCTTTCTACCAAAGAAATTTTCTTTCCACCTCCAACTTTCTTATCAATCAAACAACATATCATATTATTAAATTTATAAAAATTCTGACAAAAATTTATAAAAATTCATTATTTTCTTCCTCTTTCCTTCTTCGTCTTTTTTTTTTTTTCCTCTCTACTCCATCCCGTGGGTTTTGAATGAGAACTCAGATTTGGATTCTCATGGAGAACCAGTGAGAACCCAAACTTGGGAACCCGATCTAGGTTCTCCAAGAACCCAGACTTAGGTTCTCGGGTTCTCCAGGAGAACACGACCTAAGTTCTCCAAAACTTAGATCAAAGAGGGGGGAACAGAAGGAAGTGGTGTAACGAGTGGTGTGACGAAGGTGTGTGTACGTATCATTATCCTTTTTTTTAATAGGGCATGATAAATGATTCACATTATAGAAGAAAGGGGTGGAAAAAAAAAAAAGATTATACAAGTTCAAACCATTCTCAATAAATAAAAAAATAGATAAAAAAATATTTTTTACATTTAGAGATTTGGCCGGTGTACACCTTCCTCGACATGCCGGTGGAAATTGTTGCTTTTTAAAGCAGTTATAAATAACATAAAGAAACTCTGCCAGTGTGTTTCAAGTTCAACAGCGTTTCAATGTAATGTGTCATAATTCACCGCCGAATGAGAAAATGATTTAGGAGGAACTTTTCTGTGTGGAAATAAAATTTAAAAAAGAGAAAAGGAATTATCAGCATAAAGAAATATTTTAAATTACACTTTGAGTCTTTTACCCTTAATAATACGTAAATGAGTTTTAAAAATTAAGGCTTGGTGCTTGTGTTGTTGAGATTTTTGTTTTGGTTTTTAAATTTTAAATAATTAAGATTAATAATTAAAAATTAAAATAGCAAACTTATTGTATATAAAATTTTAAAACAAATATTTAAAATTTAAAATTTAAAATTTCATTAATTTATAAATTATTTAATTTTATTCTAAGATTTTTTAATTTTTAAAACCTAAAACCACCGAAGACTCGAAACTGCCACCATACTAAATGAAACTTAAAAATTTTATTTGAGTTTTGGCTTATATATATATATATATATGTATGTATGTATATATACTATGTGCCTGAATTTGACAAAAGGTTTAATATCATCCTGTGCTAAAAAAAAAAATTCATAAAAATTCCCAAATTTTAGCGAGAAAAGCCAAGCATGGACGTCATAATATCGTCCTAGCCGTTTTGCCCTTTGTAAGACCTCAAAAATTGTAAACATATTGTCAACGCAACAAGTTGAAGCACATAAAAGATAAAAAGATATTACTTATATATATAGCACCTGAAGAATTGTAACACATTGTCGTACCATATATCCCTTGACTCATTCAACATATTTTCTCCTCAGAAAACAAATTCTCTGAATCTTATTGCAAAGGTGGTTTTCTTTCTTTCCGACTAATGTTGGATGGAATTCTGGGTTGGCAGGCTTGTTCTTGGGTGTAAATTATGATAAGCTTAGCTATTCTCAACTTTTTAAAGAATTTTCTCAATTTTGTCTCTTTTTTTTTAAAAAGGAAGTTTGATTAAGAAATAACCATTGAATAGCCTGAAATGAAGGAAATTCCACATTTGAGAAAAATAAAAAAATAAAGGGGTTTATATATTTTTACCTTTTGCCAATAAATAATTTGAAAAGTTGGATCCATGGTTCGCTAGTTTTGGGTTTTGGCCCTACTTATTTATATTATCATTTAGATGGATACTTGGAGTTTAATTTGACCTGCCAAAAGAAAACTTATTTTTAAATTGATTGATTTTGAATATTTTAATTTAATTAAGTTCTTTTCAAAATTAGAGAGACATATATGAATTTTCAAAGATAATTTTTGACAATTAAAAAACACCTTTTTATAATGGTGTCTTTCTATAAGAACACAGTCCTTTGGTATGTGTCTTTTTAAAAAGACACACAATATCCATTTGAATGGAATAAATTCCTTTAACAGAATTCATAATCTACACCTAATTTTAAAAGAGTTTTTAAATTCTATTATGTCCTAAAGCATTTTTAAATTTTTTTAAAAAATAAAATCACATCTAAAAACTTTCTTAGTCTTCTAATTCTTTTATCTTTGTTTAACAATAACTACTGCAACCACCTAACACATGACTTTAAAAAAATCAAGAAAACCAAAAATATATGAAGAGAGAGCAAAATCACGCCTAGACCTTTTACATGTATATTTGGCTCGAAAGAAATGAAGATAAAAACAAAACTTTATGACCGATTAAATTATAATATTTATAAATGTTATAATTTAATAAATAAAAAAATCCTCCCCTTCTCTTAAACCAAACATCCTCTTAACCATGCAAAAATTTTAGATAGCGCTGAAGAAAGAATGGAGTGAATTGGGATGTGTCATGGGTTGACCAACTAGCCAACCCAACCCAATTCTCCCATTTAAATCAAGTGAAATATAAAACTTTATGACCCATAAACCTACCTGATCCAACCTGTTTGACACATGGCCCGAATCAATACGGCCTAACCCAACTCTTTTGTCAACTCTTGGGGGCCCCTTCAACTTAAATTATAGTAAAGCATCTAGCCCCCAACTTGATGTTCATATTGACAAGGTGCCATTTTTGTTTTTTCGGCCAACATATTTACAAGGTCACCATCCCAGACAAATTAAGTACATCATATCAAGTTAATTTCAATAAACTCAACATTCGCTTGAAGCAACCGTCCCTTGACTTAAGAAAGCTTAAAATTAAGAAATCAAAGACATTCACAGCCTGCAAATGACCCATTCCAAATAAACAAAGGCCAAATTGTTGAAAAAATATTGTAAGCTTGGATCGATCTTTCGTGCCATTGAGAAGGCAATGATAAAAACGAAAAATAGAGATGATTCAAATGTCTCTTCTAAACAAATCAAAGCTCCTGTCTGCATCACGACATCATCTTTCATAGTTTATAGCGAATTAATTATGCAACAATTAGTTAAGAGTGTTGGACTGAGTTGAAAATGGCACATGTAGATTAAAAAAGGCCCTGTAGTTATTTTCATTAACTTAATTATCATAACTTTGCTATCATAACTTTGCCAGCCTCAAACACAATTTCTTCGCTTGTGTTTTGTTAAACCATTTCCCAGCCTGGCCTAAGCAAACTTATTTACATCTTCCTTCTCTTCCTCTCCCTCTTCCAGTGTCTCTACTTTTTATTTGGTTTTTTCATTTTATTGATTTATTCCCCAAATCATTCGTTTTTTTACATCATAATCTGCCCTTGAGGAAGCTTACGCACAATTTCTTCCATGCCTCTCTGTCTGGATCAACTGTCCCCATATTGGCTTTCAACTGAACAGCATAAGATTCCTGCATGGAATACAACAAAAGCATATATTGGTCCACTTTGGAATATCTTACAGACAAGAAAAAGAGATTAGGAAACTAACTAACTAGAGGAATTAAGTAATGAATACCGCAATCAAATTGCGCTGGTGAAGGCGATCAATCAGGTGAAGAAGAATGTCCTCATTGTACTCAGGGTGGCCTTGGATACCCATCAGATGGTCTCCACACCTGAACATCTCAATCCCGGTCTTGGTAGACCAACCTACAACCTCTACCTTGGGAGGGAGTTCCTGCACCTATCACCAGTACAATTACATGTCAACAGGACAGAACTGTATCTGAACATAGTGTTGGGTATGGTACATAGAACAGGATACTATAATAATGTCTGAATTTCAAGTGGAATTGTTAAATGATGTTACCAAGGTCACTTTTCAGATAAACAAAAACAAACCTCATCTCGGTGGCATTCTATGATAGGGAGGGTTGCAGGGATCTTCAGAGATGAGAAGAGCTTTGCTGATGAAGGTGACAGTTGGATGTCAGTAGCACCAATGTCCCACCCAGCAGCATTCCTTCCTATTTTTCCTCCCAATGCCCTCCCAAGTACCTAAACATTTCATAAGAACAGTCATTTCTTTAATAAAAAACCGAACACATTAGGACCTTAAATCTCTCCACGCTACACACCTATCCCGCAACATTGAAGCACTAAACATCCAATAAGGAAACTCAACACCACATTAATTACTCAAAACCAGACAAAATACCCAAGGCTTAAGGTTTAGGGTAAAGCAATAATTTGTAGAATTCTCTACGTCAAATCATAATAAAAGGTAAGCTGGGCCAGCACTACTGGCACCGACAAGTGTTTATCAGCCACGCAACGTCCACAACATATTCACACCGATGTTTTTGTCCATATCAGAATACATTACATTTATTTCAGAAACATTATTATAAACCTTACAATATTTTTAATCTCACGTTCTTGGTTCATAACACATTCTAGAAAATGTTTCACCACGAGCGAATCCATTTTTTCAGAAACAATAAATCAATGTCCAGGTTCAAAACTCAAGAAAGTTTTCTTATTTCACCACATTAATGGAAATGAAGCAGTATCTGTAATAATTTTATATGCATCTACCGTTCGGGATATCAGCAAAACACTGTATTTCGATATTTGTGTATGCAAAACGTGGGTTGAGAAACTGGCCGTACAATATCCTAATACCCAGGAAAGTATCTTATTTCTACAGTAAATGTGGGCTACTGCTCATGGATCCAGCGCCGAGCTACTATAAGGGCTATCTATTTATGCTTTGATGGACCACACTCAAATATCATTTTCGATGGAAAGGGCCACACACGGCCACCGTCACGCCACCTAATTAACTCTGCTGTACAGCATTCCCCCTTTTCTCTTGCCTTTTTCAGTTTTTCTACAGTGTGAAATCACAGCAACACATTTTTTTCACCAAAAAAACACAATCCTATAAAAAGACCATCTTATCCTTATTCCATTTGGCATCAAAGTTTTTTTTTTTTTTTTTAAGTCTGTTTGTTATGGTTGAATTACAAACAAAACAAAACTTACAAAAAAGTTTCAAATATCATCTACTAATAACAGCTAAATCAAACAGAATCAAAATTTGTTTGTGCTTGCACAATGTCAAGGTTTTAAAATTTAAAAACTAATCGATTTTTATTCTTTTTGGTTGGGATGACAGAAAAAATTGTTAGTTTAGATGGAAATATTTCAGTTCACTAATTTCTTTTTAAAATTAGTGTAAATAGTAACTCCGCCAAGCTCTTTTGATTATCTGAAATTGAAATTAAAATGAGAAATTATAAAAATAGTAGGATTTAAAAAATAATAATAATAATAATTACCTGATGGCCGAAGCAAATTCCGAGAACCTTTTTTTTCATGGAATCTATTTTCTTGAGAAGCGCTACGAGCCGACAGATCCAAACGTCGTTTCCGTGAGCATCATTGCTGCTTCCGGTGACGACGAAACCGTCGTAGAGTCCGATCTCATTGTCATTGGGAAACTCGCCGCAGCCAACGCGGAACGCGTCCCACTTTTCCCCTTCCTCCGCCAGCATTTTCTCAAACAGCCCAAAGTATCCGCCGTATTTCCTCTTCACGTAATCGGAATCCTCCGCACACAGAAGAACCGCAAATCTCCTCACACCCATATCCCCTCCCATCAATCAAAATCGCCGCCGTACCTTAGAAAGACGAATCACTTTCTCTCTCTCCAAACAGAAGCGAGGGGTAGAGAGAGAAAAGAAGACGAGAATGTGAGTGTTATTTTTCAGTCCTCTGCCGGGAGGGAAGACAGATGGGTTTATTGCAAAACGGGTAGGGTTTAGAGGGCGAATTTAAAGGCGCGGAGGAAGCCGAAATTACGATTGTAACCTTATACAGTTTGACGAATTTGCCCTCCAGCCTTCAAAGTGACTATGTAACAGTTTTTCCTTAGCTAGCTGGCTGACTTGATTGGTGCAGTTAGGGAATCTTGTCGGTAATCAACGTAAATTTCTTTTTTTGATATGTAAAATGATTAGTTACACGATTGTGTATAATTTGATGTACATTTTATAGTTAATCTCTTTATTTAGAATCAAATTTAAATTAAGTTAATAAGTATTTATTTGTTTAATATTATAGTTTTATATTATATAAAATATTATTTTAAAAATATTACATTTTTAACATTATTGTTTACCTGCCAAGGTCAAATAAGACAGCGGAATGAATTAATGTAGATTGATTTACCAAAAAAATTTGAATGTAAATTTAATTAAGGTACAAATTAGCAATTATATCTGTGAGATAATCTAAAGTATTCAATCTTTATTTCCTTTACTCATTTGATGGGAATAATTTTCTCATTACAAATTTTGTAATTGAACAAATTGACTAGAGTAATTTAAAGGTACATTGACATAGTTATAATGTTTTAAATGATTGTAAATTTATAATTATGATATATTATTAAATAAGTAAATAATATAATATTATAATAATGATATATTTATAATATCACATGAAATTATAAATTTACAATTATAATATATT